AGATTAGCCTCCTTGTTACAAATCGAGAAATACACGAGAGACCCTAACCATGGATTAAAGCATTTTTACCGATTAAAATTTAAACTTTTATGAAAATGAATTATAAAATACACATGCTAGATTCATACCATAATCCTAGAACCCTAGGTGCCACATTTCAAGAAGCAAAACTAATTACATGAATAGTGAAACTAGATTCACATACCAATGTACAGCCAAGGCTCTGATACCAATTGTAGGAAAACTTAGATTTATGCCGAAGCGGTTTAGGACCTAGTACATTGGTATGCTTACCGAATCATCTTTGTTTCAGAATTACCTCTCGGTGCGCAGGTCTCGTGTAGAATCTTCCCTTGTAGGATTCCTCTTCACGAACAGCTCACCTCAGCGCCGCAGCACGAACAACCTCCTTGAAGCTGGACTGTGGCAGATCTTCCAAACTATCTCTCGAGGAGGAAGGGGAAGTGTGTGGGCACTGATTAGATTCTGAGCTTGCCTCTTTCTCACAAAAAAGACCTTGGAGGCTGATGACTTAAGAGGTACTATTTATATGGGTTCCATGAAACCCTAGCTCATTGGGCTCTAGGTTCCTTGGGCTCTTCTCATACTAATAACCCATTTGGACTTTAGTAAAAGAGCAAACACAACACATCTTTGGAGGATATGCTAATGCTTTCATGAACATCGATGCAGAACTTACCTCATATAGTTAGCCTATAATGTACTTAACCCGAAGCTTAGAATATTAATTCACCAATTAGGAAATGCAAATATGCAATAACTGATTTATGACTATTTTTTAGCCAATTTTTAATTACTATTACATAAGTAAGGTGAATATTTTGGTTCCAGTTTTAGTAAGCGACAAATCACTCTTATGGTTCGCTAGCATGGTGTTCACCCAAGTATTAACATCTATTATGCACAATTTTGGGAAGTTAATAAACCGTCCAATAGCATTGTACCACATTGTACCTTTTAGGTACAAAGTGGGGAGCTCGTGGAACTATATAAAAAACAGAAGCTAGAGTTTTTTTAGGACCACAATTCTTCCAGAATTTATAACCATATAATTCTTAAGATTAAGTTAATGCTTATTTAATTAAACAATTAAGTGAAGTGCACATGACAAGGGGTTGGAAGCTAGAAATTGTACCCTGCTGATCAATGTGATTTCAATTATTGTCCTTGATTCAATTAGCAATATAAAAAAGATATAACAAGTATATTAGAACATTGCAGAAGGTCAGAACTCAGAACCCCATTAATCAATACAACTGTGCACCTAAGTTAAACAATTTAAAAAGGTAGATCACACTTTAAAATTTTCTTAGCTGCATGTGAAAGGAGGCTTTATATTTAATGTGGAGGGTGTTGCGTAATCAACTTTTGAAGTATCCCTATCTCTCAATTGAGATATTGATAATGGATAATTGTTCATCGAAGAGAAGGGAGGGTGAGAAATTCCTCTCTCATTCAGGGCTTCCAAGAATTCTTTAGGGAATAAAATCGAAGACGACCGTCCTTCTCTAAATTTTAATTTTTTAATTATTATAAGGGAAGGTTATATTTATAAATTTTTTGTTTACAAACTACGCTATGTCATACTGATGAAGTCTTACCGGTCAGACATAATGTAGTTTGGAAAAAAAAAAAAATTGTCAATATAACCCTTCTCTTATTATATATATAAAATGATATTTGTCTAATAACAAAAGATTGTTATTGTTAATAGTTAATCTCTCCCTAAAAAATACTTATAATTGTTAATCCATCTTATTATTTTTTATAACACTTATAATTTTTATATTTTATTTTCACCCAGAAAAAAAAAAAAATTTAGGTCCGCTGCTCAAACTAGTCTTTTTGGTTTCTGGTTTGTTCTTTTTTTTTTTTTTCATTTTCCTACACATTAACTCTCTACAAATACCAGCTTTGCCAATAGAAAAATGTGCATATATTGATAGGTGAAATCGAACTCATTCATTATTAATGATAGCGATGAGGCACTAAATTAATAACATGTGGAACTGTCTGGCGGAAGTCGCAATAAGGGACCAAAAACAAAGAGGTTTTCAAAGAAACTCCATCCAAATTTGATCTTATTCTCTAATTCATAATTTTGGAAATGCCAATGATCTAAACATTTTCAAGAGTTAGTACCTGTCTGGCCCTGCATGACAGTTGTGACTACACATTGGACCACACTTGTGAAATGTACCTACAAAAAATCACACAGCCAAACATTTTAGCCTTGGGTCTGAACCAGTCTTGCTGCTATCTAGATTGGGATAAAATACATCATTGCAATTAATAATCAATTTCCCATAAATTGTTCTTCAATTCCCATTTTTATAATTGTTGTTTCAGATTAAATATTGAACTTCAGAGAAGTACCATAGTCATATATTTATGCTACTGAGCACTGCAATTTACCAAGGTAAAATGCAACATTCAAGTATTTAATGTTCTTCTGCATCTTATTGGCACAGTGAATTAATATCGTATAAGCTCCATTTTGAGGTCATGTCCCAAGTATGGAAAAGATAAAAAAACACAATTTGGTGGAAATGGGATATGTGTGGGAACAAGAGCTTTAAAATCTGCAGGCTTCCACTGAATATTGCCATTCAATTCTGTCATGGACATATTCAATGGCCCCACAGTTAATATAAAGATAAGAGCATAGATTAATCCTAATTCGAATACAAATGAGCCTTATGGCTTAAGAATTTGAATCCTATCAAAATTCTCATATCTCAATTAATTGATAGAAAGAATAAAGAGTTAAATCTCATAAATACGCATCTTCAAAACTTTAGTTTGTAACTATGCACACACTTACTTTAGCTTTAAGCCTTCTCTTTGTACACCACCTGTGAAGAACCAATTCAACCCAAAAGTTTAAGCTGGTGGATGAGAGCTTTTTAATAGTTTATATTATTCTCTAACACGCCTCTTCACACGAGAGTCCACTGGGCTTGAAGGGTGGACAATGCACAGACCCACCTACCTGTGCTATGAAATTCCACAAGAGAAAGTGGGGAGCGGTGAGGATCGAACATGTGACAACTGTTGGGTATGGCTCATACTTCGCATGTTGATGAAGGCCCTAGTTGTCGGGGTCAGCAGAAAGGCAACTGGGGTCCCGCTCCCAGATGAGCGGGCGGGGGTCCGCGAGAGCCACCCCGGCGGGGGTCGGGGGCACCGTCCCCAGGCCCGTAAAGGCTAGGTACTGTTGTGGACCTCTGTTTTATTGTAATTTTCTTCGCAGTTTGGGCTTGAGCCCATGAATAGCTGCTGTTAGGATTTTCTAATCCTATTTATATTTGCCTTGTAAACCGAGTGACTTGTAACGAGTGGCGGTGATGTGAATATAGTACAGACAAGCTGGACGTAGCTTATATTGGGTGTTTTCTCGATTCTGTGTGATTGTCGATTTCCAACATTGACAACAAGGCTCTGATACCAGATAAAGAACCAATTCAACCCAAAAGCTTAAGCTGTTAGGTGATAGCCTCTTTAATGATTTATATTATACTCTAACACGCCCCCTCACACGAGAGCCCACTGAGCTTGAAGGGTGAATAATGCACGAGCCCACCTACCTCTTCTAAGAAAATTCCACAAGAGAAACTGGAGGCAGTGAGGATCGAACCCGTGACAACGAGACTCTAATACCATGTAAAGAATCAATTCAACCCAAAAACTTAAGCCAGTGGATGAAGGCTTTTTAATGGTTTATATTATTCTCTAACACTCATTTGTTTTTTTTTTTTTTGATAAATCATATGTATTCTTCACGAGAAGCAATTTTGTTTGGAGCTAGTTTAAGAATAAGGCTTTAAACTCCTCATAAAGATGACACTGGCGAGGATAGAAACACATACTCTTATCTCCATTTACTCAATTCACATACAGCAACTGAGCTATCATGGTTGATTTACATCACCCTTTGTGGTTGTTTGTTCCGTAGACTATGCTAGTTTACAAATCCTACATCAATCACATTTCTCACGGATAGAACAACTTCAACTTCTTATTTTCTTTATGCTACAAAATCCACATCCTCTACTTTTTGTTTTCTCCTCTTTCTGACAAACTCCACATGCTCTTGGAGAGAGGTTTAAGCCACAGACCCACCCACGTTGTTTTGTCTACATAGAAGTGCAAGGAAATGACCATAGCAGATCTGAATCATCTGACCCACGAATTCAGACACGCCTATCCCTCTCACCCTTTTCTCTTCTTCCTTCTCCTTATCTATATTTTAACAATATCTCTCTCATACACTCAGATTTTGACACCCCAAATTCCACCAATCTTTCACTCTCTCTTACGTAATGTAATAATTTAAGGGTTGTCACTAGGACTTTTTATATATTGTAAAAACTAATAAGCCTAATTTTCAACACTTGCCTTCTTCATATATAATATACACTACAATTCCTCTCTCACATACACTTAGCCTCAATATGTGCCTGTGATAGAGAGAACAAAGAACAAAGAAAGTATAAGAGAGAAAAACATCTCTTCTTGGGTTTATCAAATTTCCCTATAATTTGTGCACTATCTGTAGCACTTTGGAATTGCTTTGTTTTCACTTCTTTTTGTTCCTTCTGCTTTTGCAGGAGATATTCTCATCTCTGTTATGTGAAAACCCAACATCTAATTTATGTACTTTGTTGTTTTGTTTCTCTTTGGTTCTATTCATGGTCATGGACATTCTATTCTATTCACATGCATACACATGTAACACACAAAAGCAACTCAAACTATGAGATTTGCATGTCATTATCTTCTTTGAAAACTTCTGATTCTCAAGCCCTTTCAGTTCCTCCTTCTGAAACTCCTTCACATTTCATACTCTTGTTACCTCCATTTAAGACCCCAAAACAAAAAAATATCCTCTCTTCTACATTCTGTGGGAGAGAGAAATAAGAACATGGTAGCTACATAAATTGAGGCCTTTTGGACTCTGGAAAGTGGAAGAAAACAAAATGTCTAAGAAGGTTTTGACATCAATGAAGGATGAAAATCCCGAGTTGCAGAAGCAGATTGGATGCATCAGTGGATTTTTTCAGCTATTTGATCGCAACAGGTTCATCACAGGCCAAAGCACTAGCAGCCAGAATCAGAAGATACATAATCAAGGTAATCTGAAATATTTCTGTTTCTGCTATGCATTCTGAAGGTAATTTTATTAGTACCACAGTTAGTTTAGTTTATTTTTTAAAAAGTGATTTTCACAGATTTTAAAACATATACAATTGATTGAGAAAATTTGATTGAAATGAATATTTAGTTTAAAATGACTTTCTTCCAATAGTAATGGAATAGCCAAATTAACTTATAATGTGTCAGTAATATACTGTCACATAATTTTTATCTTCTTTTCTCATTCAGGTTTATTATTATTATTATTTTAAAAAAATTTGGTGGGGTGTGAGGGGTGGCAAATGGTAAAAGTTCTTCCGGTGCATGTAGTTACAAGACAAAGCAAAGCCTTTTATCAATTGGCTTATTGCTGTCTTTTCCAAGTTAAGTCATGGTTTCAAGATATGTAAAATGAGTAGGGTTATATTGAAATTTATTTTTTTTACAAACTACGTTGTGTCGGACCTGTAATACTTTACTCAAGAGTGTCTTACTGGTTAGACATAGTATAATTTGTAAATAAAAAATTTGTAAATATAACCATCCTCGTGTAAAATACCATTTCCATTTTATATGAAACTCTGAAAAATTTTCAAGATATGAAAATTTGAAGTAGATTTTCTGAAATTTCACCCTTCATATGTTTGAAGAAATTTTTGAAAATTCAGTGTATTAGAATGAGACCTTGTAATCTTTAGCAGCGTCAGAGATACAAATATTTTCTTTTTGTTGAGTTTGTACCTTATGATTCGCCTATAGTTATATATCATTTTCCTCATTTAATAATGTTGGATGGTTGAAGTTGCTTTATTTTCTGGAAGAATTCCAGAATTTATATATTCCCAAGTGGCACATGGTTCTGTAAATGGTAGTAATAATAATTATTGGGGAAATTACTTCTTATGTGACTGCAGAAGGGAAAACTTGCAGCAACACAGGATACGCGTTCAAATCCTGTTTTTTTTTTTTTTTTTTTTTTTGATAGAATCCGCACGTGTATCCTACGATCCGTACGTGTATCCCAGTGTTAAAAATTTGCTGCAACTTTTCTTTCAGCAGTCACATGAGAAGCGACGTACCCATAATTATTATCATTAAAATCTTTGCAGATAAAATAAATGATGTAAATATTTCATGTTTAGGACTTTTTGTGCCATAAAATCAGATACTTGATAAATACAGTTGAATTCTAGTATGAATATGATGCATTTAAATAAGGTGTAGTAAGGCAATAAATTATAATACATCATTAAATAAACTATTATTACACATAAATATATACTGATTTGTGAATAATTATGTTGACTTTATACACCCAACTTGGATGCACCAAGTTTATACAAATTTTTTTCCTGATAGTTTTATTATCAATTTCTGTGCTGCTTTTCTGTGGAGCTTTAACATGTGTAAACAAGCCAACATATTTTCTAGCAAGAACATAAAAAAGAATGAACATCTAGTTGAGGTTAAAGTTTCACAAGAAATTTCAAATTTCTTCCTACTAAATTTTTCTATTCTCAGGTGGAAACAGTAATCACATTGAAAAGAATGTCAAGGTTGCAAGACAGAATCAACAACTCTCCACAGAATCATCAGGAACTTCAAAGTCTTCATCATCTTGTTCATCTAGCATGTCATCCCTTGAGTTTAACAAAACAATTCAGATAGATCCACCATCCATCATTCAAATCAAAATTACAGAAAACTACAATTCAAGAGCACCAATGAAGCAACTTGACAACCAAGGCCATCAATCCCTTGATTTCTGTGATATTGTCAAAGACTCAATGCATAGAGAAGCCAAAGGATTGTTAGTTAAAACTGTGGCTAAAGGTGAAAAGAAAGGTCGTATCTTGAAGTACATTGACTCTCCAAGGCCTTTGCAGGCACCAAAATCTGTCAATGCAGGAGTTATTGTTGCCAATGAAGCCTTCCATGTTCCTACTAAATCCCACAAAGCACCTTGGGATTCACCAAGACTCTCCTATGATGGGAGGGATATACATGACACATTAAAATCTGCTACAAAGCACAAAGAACTCCCAAGGCTTTCCTTGGACAGCAAGGAAGGATCCATCAAAGGTTTCAATGAAGGAACAAAATCTCACAACCTTTTGAAGGGTCCACAGAAGGGGTATGGGAATTTCAGCACAATGCTTAAGCAGCTTCAAGAACCAGAAACTTCTAAAAGACCATCATCCAGTGTTGTAGCAAAGTTAATGGGACTAGAAGCCTTCCCAGACTGGACACAAACTTGTGATACTCCAAAGGGGATCTCTAGCAGCACCACCAACAACAATGAGAACTTTTCTGGATCTAGCAAAATTGATGAATACATCCAACACCAAAGTTCAGTATCCCCTAGGACAAGTAAGGGGTCTACCTTGCTTCAGTCTAGAAGGGATGCTTCAATCACAAATGTGACACCATATTCAAAATATTCCCTAGAACCAACTCCATGGAGGCAACCTGATGCAAGCCAAGGTTCTCAATTACAGGCTTCCAAGGGAAGTGAATCTTCAATAAAAGCATCAAATCAATCCCTCTCTGTATATGGGGAAATTGAGAAAAGGATGGCAGATATTGAGTTCAAAAATTCTGGAAAGGATCTCAGGGCCCTTAAACAGATTCTTGAAGCCATGCAGAGATATAAAGAATCATTAGATATTACAAGAGATCAGGCTTCAAATTCTCCATCTGACAATAGGAATAATGGTAGTCTCAGTGAAAGCTTGAAAGTACAAAGGCCAAGAATACAAAGGAAGGACCCATCATCTGCCACTTTTGAGATGTCAAGTTCAACTCAGGGTAATAAATCTCCAATAGTCATCATGAAACCAGCAAAAGTAGCAAGAAAAACCAATATTCCTGCTTCCACAGAAATGTCAATTCATGGTAAATCAGGCCTCAGACATGTCAAGGATCCTATTAGTCAACCCTTTCATTCAGTTGATAAGAGTAATAAGATGAGAAGAACTTCAAAGTTGATGCAATCCTCAAAAGTTCCTCGAGTCATTAATGGAGAAAACACCACCAAGTCCAGCAATACATCTGAGACCAGGAGCCCAAGACTACAAAAGAAGTTTGATTTGGAGAGGCCTTCTCCACCAACCAGTCCATCATCAGATTCCAGCAGTAACAGAAGACTACACAACAGGCAATCCATGGAATTGTCTTCCCCAAGTACAACACCCAGACAAAAATTCTCTACTTTTCAGGAAAGAAATGAACGTTTCAGTGAGCTCAGCTATCAAAGGAGGGATTTTAAGCATGAAATTGATGTTATTTCACCAGATTTTGACAGCAAGAGAAGCATGGACTCTCACAGTGAAATAGAATTCCTTCAAAATTGTCATTCTGAAAAGATCAATAGCAACCCCATCCAGCTAAATGGCTTGAATCAAAATGTAAGTGTTTTTTCCTCCTATAATTAGATTCTTGCATCTAAATTACCTGGTTTAACATTCTTTCATTGATCAGAATGCAGAAAAAGAGTTAAGCAAGGAAAGCTTTATGGCTGAGACAGGAGTTACTGCTGAACAACCAAGTCCTGTGTCTGTTCTTGAGGCTGAATTCTATAGTGAAGACCCACCTTCTCCACTTAAAAGGAAATCAGACATCTCAAAAGATTTAGGTATGTTGCACACTTGTAGCCTCACCCAACAGCTAAAGCTTTTGAGTTGAATTGGTTTTTTACATGGTATCAGAGCCTCGGTGTACCGGGTTCGATCCTCACCGCCCCCCACTTTCTTTCTAGTGGAATTTCTTTCTTCGCACAGGTAGGTGGGCTTGTGCATCGTCCATTCTTTAAGTTCAGTGGGCTCTCGTGTGGGGGGCGTGTTGAGATATATAAAATCATTAATGTAGCCTCACCCAACAGCTTAAGCTTTTGGGTTAAATTGGTTCTTTCCACACAATTCATTTCTAAGCAACATAGATTGAATATCAAATTAGTCTAAAATCATCTTCTCAAATGATTTACTGCACCGAATACACCTTTTGCTGCCATTCAGAAAAATTGTCTAAGAAAAGAGTTTGAGTGACATTTTGATTCTCTTCAAATTTATTGCTACAGATGAAGCTCTGAACACTTATGATAGTAGTGAAGAGAACTCAGAAGATCTTCCTCTTTCATCCAACACCACAAAATTCAACTTCAGCCAAGGAGCCAGTGATGATGACTTGAAAACTCAGAATTTGGTTCAAATTCTTCAACAAATTGACTATAATGATGAGAAACTCACCAATGATCCTGACCATAAATATATATCAGAAATACTGATAGCATCAGGACTGCTTAGCAGTCCCAACTCTAGTCAAACATTTCATTCATCGGGTTACCCGATTAATCCGAAGTTGTTCCTTGCACTAGAGCAAATCAAGACAAACAAGATGCATATCAATATTGAACACAGTGCCAAGATTTCCAAGACAAATAATCCTGAGCAAGTACAAAGAAAGCTCATATTTGATGTGGTTAATGACATTCTAGTTCAAAAACCAACATTGGAGAGTTCTTCCACTCTTTGGTGCCAGCCAAATCAGCAAGCAGGTAGAAAACTAAAAGGACAGCACTTTTTGGATGAGCTTTGCACTGAAATTAGTAAGTTACAATATAAAAATAGGAATGTCAGCTTGGCTAATGAGGATGAGAATTTGAAAAGTCTATTGTTGGAAGATTTGATGCATCACCCCACAATTTTCAGAGACTGCAACAGTGAGATACCAAATATTGTGTTGGATATTGAACGGTTGATCTTCAAAGATTTGATAACAGAAGTTGTGAGAGGTGAAGTAGCTAACCATAGCAGGTAACTGATGTTTCCCAATTAGGAATTCCATCCAAGTAGTTTAAGAAGTAATATTCAGCCTTAATCTGTCAACTTTGTTTTCTATTTATACCTATGCTTACACTTAGAAGGGATAATAAGATACTTAGTTAACATCTTAATTATAAACTGATAAACACTTATGTCAATCTTCATCTTTCTTGAATGTATTTACAATGTATGTTGATAAAATACATATAGAAATGCAGATAATTGTAAATATGAGAGACTTGATCTTTTTCAGTTATAGATGTCTCAGAATTATCAGAGTGAGATCCCCTTTACTATTTCTTAAGTTAAATTCACATCTTTGTCTGGTGCCTGCTAAGATTCAGGAAATATCAAAATATGTTTTTTTTTGTTTGTTAATTTATCACCATTTTTAATGCCTACGGAGAGCAACAACCAAAAAGCAATCGGTTCTCAACCCAAAAATGAAAAAGAATAAGAATTCTTATACCTATTAACGATTATTGATTTACATGTATTCAATGACTTATATAATTAAAAAAACTAGAACCATAATATATAAGTGGGATAAATGAAACTAGAACCATGATTTTGTAAGTGGGATAAATGATGAAGATTAATAGTGTAACAAATACGAATATAAAATAATACTAGATATATGTATATAGTTTCTGGGTCTTTCTGGATTGCTCCAAGGGTATCTCTCAGTTGATAGCCGAAGATTAATCCCCTCGAGACCAAGAGATCACCTACGTGGGTATAGTCTTTACCAACAAAGCCTTTTCTATACGCACGGCTAGAAATGCCACACAACTATCAACTAACAAACCTTAAATCCTGAACTCGTCTCACCTTTTTTCCATTTTCATGATGTACCTGATTCATCAGCAAACTATAGCATTTGAGTCACCACCACCACTTTTCCCATTGTAATATGGGCCTCTTTTAACAATCTTTAACCAGCACAGAAGAAGATCCAAAGAAACTATCTCAATGAAGCCATATATATGTTAGAGGTAATTAATTTGATAGGTAATTAATTTGATAGAGAAGGGTTTTAAGGTTTTTGAAGTATTACATCAAGAGGCATCAAGTTTGGAATACTCAACAGTGTTACCTCCAGCTTAGAAAATCCTAGAGATAATGCAAGTTATTGGGCTCCAGCCCATATAGACTCAAATAACCATGCTTTCACATATTGGGCTTATATGTAAACATACTACTGGACTATATTATGAATATATCCAACAATCTCCTCCCATATTCACCATACAACACAACCCAATAGAGTGATCAATGTAATGTTCAAACAAACATGAATCATTCACATCCAGTCCAAGAAAATTAACTCGGGTCAATCAAAGAGTTTTACCAGTAGGATATTAAACTCAATCGTTATTTGCAATCTAAATAAATAAATCATCACTATCATAAATCTGTAATGAGACCAACATACCAAAATAAATGTTTAGAGTTAAAGATTCAATCTAAACTCATCCAAATCCCAACATCAATAAGTCTCAAAATCAGTTCACAATCAACAATGTTCATAAAATAAAGATAGCAAAATGCAAGTCTCAAATAAATGGACTCCATCAAAATAAGCAATAATGGGTAAACTGTCAAGTCCGCACACACTCTAAATGATGTGTTCATTCACCAAGGAGTTAAGCTCTCCTCCATCTCTATCATCCTCTGTACAATATCAAATATGAATTTCATATTAACATAAATTCAATTAGTTAAATAATTTACCAAAGATGTCTAGTTCTACTAAAAGAACTTAACATTATATCATCAGGAAAAGAGGAACATATATTAATATCATAAAGCATCATAATATCATGTTCATAAGTATCAAGCCAATTTCATAAATTATAAACAAGGCCTAAACAATTTGATTTGCAAAGAGCCATCAACTTAAGTTTATTTGTAAAAGAATAATCATTGTCTAGTTTCAATGAACACGACCAATAGTCAAGTAACTTACAATAACTTAGCCATGTGATGTCAAGTTTCAAATAAGAACAAGACCAACAGGCTTCTTAAGCATACAACTATTTCAATATTTCAATTTGGAATGTCAAAATTATTGATTCCTCAAAGTCAAATAATCTGGCATCAAGTTTGGAATGAGATCATTTAACCAAAAGGATGGTCCAACCTAGTTGGATTGTATCATCAAGTTTGGAATAACACAAGTTTCCCAGGTAGAACCTTTGAATTAGGTTCAAGTTATTTTCATCAAGTTTAGAATGAGATAACTTACCTTTTTCAAATTGATTAGCAATCATGAACATCAATGAAACATATGAACCGTGCTTATCATTTTGGCCAACAAAAGGAAGATTCGATAGTTCAAAACACATAATTAGAAGGTAAGTAAATGGTAATTAAGACTTGTGTACGTAGTCTTTAACCTCATTAACCCCATTGTTTTGAATAATCGATCTTTAGGTATACCTTTTGTAAGAGTAACAACCAAGTTATTCTTTGATCTCATATCAATTAAGGTGATAACTCCTTGTTCTCTCAGATAATTCAACAACAGATGTCTTAGTCTCACATGTCTTCTCTTTGAATTAAAGAGAGCATTTGTAACAACTTGGACAGCGGCTTGATTATCACAGAACAGGCTTAAAGAATTAATCTTTAGTCGAGTCAAAGGAATATCCATAATCAAATTCTTTATCCACTCAGCCTCTTCGCCGTCTGAGGCTGAAGCAAAAAGTTCTGATTCCATAGATGACAATGCAATACAAGTCTGTCTTTTGGATTTCCAAGTAATAGCAGCTCTACCCAAAGTGAGTACATATCTACTGTTGAACTTACTATTTCTTATTTCTGAGCACCATGACGCATCAGAATATCCATCCACAATTGAAGGATAGCCAGATTAGTGTAGAGCATAATCTTTAGTACCTTTGAGGTATCTCATCAGCCTATCGAGGGCATCCCAATGCTTTTTACTAGGATTACTAGTGAAATGACTCAACATGCCAACTATAAAGGCTATGTCAGGTCTAGTGTAACTCGCAGCATACATGAGACTACCAATCAATTTTGAATACTTTAATTGATTCACATTGGTCCTTTCATGAGGATTCAGTCTTTTATTATAATCACATGGTGTCTCACTTAGTTTGCACTCACTGTATGCCTAAGTAGAAAGTAGTTGCTCAATATAATGAGTCTAGCTAAGGGAGATGACTTGCCTTTCAAAGCTTATTTTCATACCAAGAATGGTATTAGCAATACCAAGATCTTTCATGTTAAATATTTCTTTAGCTAAATTAGCTTTCATGTCACTTACTACAGAATGATCGGAGCCAATAATTAACATGTTATCCACATACAAGTAAATGATGACTATCTTATTTGACATAAAACGATGGTAAAGACATTTATCTGAGTAACAAGACTGGAATCCATAAATCTTTACCGCTTTGTCAAATTTAAGATGTCACATCTTAGGTGCTTGCTTAAGACCATACAAGGATTTGTTTAATTAACAAACTTTGAACTTAAGACCTTATATGACAAACCCTTCCGATTGTTCCATGTATATTTTCTCATTTAACTCTCCATTTAGAAAAATCGTCTTTACATCCATTTGATACACTACATAGTGTTCAATAGATGCCAAAGCAAGAAGAATTCTTATAGTTAATAGATGGCACATATGTGACTAGACATCAAAATAATCTACTCCACTTTGTTATCTATAGTCTTTAGCTACTAAACGTGCTTTGTATCTAGCTATTGATCCATCACTATTCAGTCTCTTCTTCAGTACCCACTTACAGCCTATAGCCTTAGCCCCTTTTGGCAAATTGACTAGCTGCCAAGTATAATTCTGCAGTAGAGAGCTCATTCCATCATCTATGGCTTCTGCCCACAGCAGAGATTCTCTAGATCTCATTGCTTCCTAATAGGAGAATGGATAATTCTCTAGATGGTAAGTGACAAAGTCCTCACCAAAGTCTTTGGGAACTCTCTGTCTTAGATACTCTAATTGGAACTGATTCAACAACGAGTTATGTGAAATTAGTGTTAGGAGGGCTTGCTTCAGATTCTATAGGAGATTCTAAAATCATATCTGTAAATCCAGAAATACTCAATCCATGATATTTGAGAAACTTATTCTCAAAGAATTCTGCATCTTTGGATTTTATCACTGCTGTAGTAGATAGATCCAAAAATCTATTTGCAGCACTGTCTTTTGCATTTCCTAGGTATACACAAGTAATAGTTCTAGGTCCCACCTTTAGTCTCTTAGGATCTTTTATTCTTACATAAGTAATACATCTCCAAGTCTTAAGAGTATCATATCTACACGGACGCTTATGCCGAATCTCATAAGGTGTCATTGACAACTTAGAGTGTGGCAACCTATTCAGGATGTGATTGGCAGAAAGAGCTGCTTCTCCCTTATAGGATGAAGGAATGCCAACTGTAAGTAACATAGAGTTTAATATTTCAATTAATGTCCTATTCTTATGCTCGGCAACACCATTTGATTGGGGTGAGGAAGGAGCAATGGTTTCAAGTATTATTCCATCTGAAGCGCAGAATTCCTTGAACCTTGTCATTGTGTATTCTCCTCCTCTATCACTCCTAAACCTCTTAATTTTCAAGTTTAATTGATTTTTTACTCTTCACTTGAAAATATTAAAAGCTTCATCTTTCAATTTCAACAAATAGACATGACGATATCTAGAAAAATCGTCTATGAATGTTATTAAAAACTTCTGACCACCTCCAGTAACACAATTTCTAAAGTCACTAAGGTTAGAATGTATTAGCTCAAGAAGTTGTGTTCTTTTAGAAACTGATTTAGAAGGTTTTCTAGTTATTTTAGTTTGTGCACGTACTTCACATTCGTCAAATCGAATAGAGACATCGAATGGAATATCGTATATTTTAGCTAGATGTTGCGTTTTCCTGTAGTTCACATGTCTAAGTCTATTATATAACAACTTTGGATCAATCAAAGTTCAACTCACATGGTTTATGCTCTCAGTATCTAAAATCAACC